GTGTGTGTGTGTGTGTGTGTGTGTGTGTGTGTGTGTGTGTGTGTGTGTGTGTGTGTGTGTGTGTGTGTGTGTGTGTGTACATGTGTTTTATATATATTTATGACAAAAATCAATTATATATTTGATAGAAAAAATAAATAAATCAGAGTGCTCTAGTTTCTCTCTTCTCTAAAAGAGGGAAAGAAAGCTTTAAACATTTCTTATAAACATATTAATATATTTAATTATTTATATTTAATTATTTATATTATTAATTGTTACATAGTAACAGCAATTTTTATTTTATCGTTTGCTATGACAACAATAACAATAGTTATATTTATTGTTTAAAAGATTTTTTATTAATTTTTCTTAAAAAGTAAACAAAATTACTTTTTTCTCTTTCTGACTAATTTAAATTTACTCTATTAAATTTACTCTATTATTACTCTTTATAAATGTCAAAAAACTTTTATTTATATGCAAAATATTAGATCATCAATGCATTATTAATGTATTATTTTTCTCTAGTTGTTATGTAATATTAATAATGTATTGTACATTACATATATAATAATTTTCCACGATTAAAAACAACATTCCGTTTTCATCTTGCAGACCATTAATTGGAACAGTTGTTCCTTGACAATCTAATTGCTTTTATTATTTTTTCGGTCAATAATTGTAGCATATTTTGTAGTCGATTCAAGAATTTTGTCGTCGAATCGACATAATGGTAAAAGAAGCATTCACAAGAATCAACAAAGATATTAATTATTGATATATTTTGCGTTATATCAAATAGATAATATGATTCAGTGACAAGATATGATATGTGATATGAAATAGTATGAACATTATTAGTAGCATAAGAGAAGATATTATTCAGATTTTGTTCCATGCCAACAATATCGGGAGTTCAAACACCTACCTGTCACTTCTCGAACAGCTGACTGTTGTACTTGTATACGTGCAGTGCGTTGCTTAATCAATATTACGTATAAGCACATCCACCTATTCTATTTGCATGAAACGGAAATACGAAAAGCAAAAACACTACTCTACTCCTAAAAAATATCGTCTCTTTAAAAAATATCGTCTCAAAGCAACAGATTTATTACTTAGAGCAATCGTCCGCGTATGTGTGGGTGTAAACAAAGGTCGGATTCGTGCGACATGCGCACTTGATATCGACTTGCTTGCAAAAAAAGTAATCTGATAATAATGTGATAATCGATTTATCCAAATATGTCCTCGAATTGATAATGATATGATTAAATTCATTTAGCGAGATACAATAAAGTCCCCAGATAACACAAAATCCAAAATCGGGACATAAGATGTCTTAAAGATCTTTCATCTTTATGAAAGAAAATAATTTGTCTTAAATCAGATTTTGATAAGTTAATATTTTATTAATATTTTATTCAGTGTTAAATTGTAACAAAATAACATGTGATATATGACACGCGCGTGAGACTGCCATTAATGCTCCAATTGAACATAACGAGTACAAGGTTCAAAGGAAATCATTCAACAAGCTCGAAATCGTTTATAGTTAAATAGCTCGCTTGTTACGTCACCTAATTGCCCACTGCCTTCTAACAGAACTGTTGTTTCAAGACAAGAAATGTACGCGCATTTGTAATCGCGTCATCAATCAAGTAATTAATGGCTTAATTGATTGTTATTGACAAAAATCCAAAAAGTAGTCGATATAAAATGATTAATGATCGCGAATGACAAAATTTTTATCATGCGCGTAATACTGCTGTTATAAATATATTATTATTTGGTAATAAATATAAGCGATAAAAATCTTTAACTTTAGTATTATGCACACGAAACCACTTATCTAAGAAAAAAGACCTTATTATGTGTCTTAATTAAGTAACATCGTCATTGATCAATATCTTTTCTCGATGATAAACCGTGTCATTTATTGAAAATATTTAAGGAAAAGATAATAAATTAATATTTGATTAAAATAATGTTATATCATCTTGAAAAGATTATAAACATTTTGTTCTCATCTTTGCTCATCTTTGAGAATATTCTGATTGGTTTCAATCAGAATATTGAATTCAACAACACGTGTGGAAATAATTATACAATGTGATGTGACATTACATAGTATTGATTCACATGTGAAGTATTCTTTAATATCTTATTATTTGTTATTTATATTGTGTATTTTCATACAAATTATATATATTCTATATATACTTTTTTAAAGTATTTAACCAGTTATTGTTACGATAATAATTATTATTTTAATAAATTTATTATTAATTTATTAGTAAAATAATATGCGTATTTTGTTGACATATTTTTATATGGCAATGAATAAAATTATTAAAAAAATTTAATATAGAAATAAATAATATTTAAAATATAAAATATAAAAAATATAAAATATAAAATATAAAATTTTAAATATAAAATATATTTTAAATATTGTTCTATTCAATATGAGTTTTTTCCGAATAAAATAACAAAGTGACAAAACAATAATATAAAACTATATTAAAAATTCTTGAGCGACATGGAGAAAAGAGTAAACTCTGCATTTTATTATCAGAAACTTTTTTTAATACAACAATTTTATTATACATATGTATATAAATTACGTTATAGTCAAATAAATATATCTTTTTTGTTATTATTTTCAGCAAATATTTTTAGGAAAATACTGAATCTTAAAATAAAATAAAATGTAAAATGTTAATATCATTAAAATAAAATTTACTATAAATTTCTTAATAAATATATTAAAATTGCATGTAATTTTCGTGCATATAGTATGAAAGCAGCATTAACATTTTATGTGATAAAAATTGAAATAATATAAAGTACATATGATTTTATAAAATAAAAAAAATTAGAAAAATATGTAAATAAAAATTTGAAGTACAGTACAATGAGAAAAGATAGATTCTATGAGTTTCTGAAGCAACACTTTCTGAATAAGACTTTCTCGCGCTAAATCGTCAAACCTTAGATAGCAACAGTGCAGGTGAAGCGTAATAATTACTTTCTTATAATAAAACTACTTTGATATCGGAATTTTCACATTATTCTTGTATCGCAAAATCATAAATATTATAATTAATTATAATATTTAACATGGCGTATATAATCTGTAGAACTTTCTCTGAAAACATATCAATCAGTGCAAAAAAGAGTTCTCATAGAATTGAGCATTAAGAAGAATTCCTTATTATCCTTGAAGAATAATGTAAATGTATAAACGATGATAAAACGTATATAAACAATTCATTTGTTAGAACTGTCAGAACTACAACATTATTACAACAGGCTGTAAACGACAGACGGTAAGATAAATGATGTATGCCAATTCATCACACTTCAGATGGTGCAACAATGTAAAAGAATCATGTTTGATAAGAGTTATCTAAAAGTAGATAAAAATATCTACTTGCAAATTTTTTATAAAAGAATATTAAAGATTGATTAAACTGACTGATGGAAGATACTAATAAAAAAAAAAGAGATTGATGGATAATTGGGCAATTGATAATTGATTACCATATTTCAATCAGTTTACACAATAAAGGGCAATTCTTATTATCTGAACAAAAAATGGAACGAATGGAAGATCAGAAAAATTATTCAATCGTTGCAACTTCATTATTCCTTATATTATTATTCGTCTTATAACCTAACACCTTCGTGTACAGTTGACCTCATTTGAATAACCGATCAGTGCGCATCGACGATGTAAGTAGTATTCGTCGAGTTCTCTACAAACACAACATGCTTGTCTTAATATCTGAGAATAGGCCGCAAGTCTGAGTGTGAAGTCATTTACGAAGTATATCGTATTTTATTAATCGATATATTTAAACTGAAAATAGCCGATATTTTATTTCGGAATTGCGTTACTTTGATTTGTATTACTTTAAAAAGACTCTTGTGACAAATACAAGCGAAAATAATTTAAATGATACATAAAATTATCTTATGTCAATGTATGTTTAACGATATGTTTTATTATTATAAATCTTAAATTAATAGATAATTATTATTATTATTGAAATATTTTTTATCAAAATAAAAGAATAAAAAAAAAGAAAGATTTACTCGCAAAGAATTAAAATATAAAAGCTTAAAAATGTAATTATGTGAACTAAAAGTAATACAAGATGTCACTGGTAATTTTAATAATTAATTTGAAATGCTACTTAGACGTTGTTAATTAGAAACGCTATTTATTGTTTAGTACTGTTCTTATCAGACACGCATGTACGATTATCATTAGCTTATTCTTATTTCTTTTTCAAAATAAAAAAACGTATGACATGTTTTGAATCCAGCGAAACATAGACGTTGTCAGCAATTAATAAATCGCTATTACTAAAATCATCCGATTCGCAGGCGAACGTATGCAAACGGAAGTAATAACAAAACATGCAGTGTTTATCAATCTTCATGTTACGAAATAAACGTATACATTTGAACTTTAATATAGTAGCTACGTGTTAGAGCCTTTATCCTTGATATGCGAAGTTATATGAGAAACGTAGAGCAACAAACCGTAAGAAACGAGTATTTCTTTCTAAGAATGTCATTCATGCATTTTACTAAGTGTCAACGTTCCAGCAAACTGTACTTAATATATTATCTATGTGTGAATAGAGCGAAATATATACTTAAGATGTTTATCTATTATCTTATTCCGCACTTTGCTGCAAAATATTTAATTATATAAATTACTTTTCTAATCTGCA